CTTCGAAGTAAGCCCAACTTCGCCGACTTATTCGACAAATGTTGTGTTAGTGCGCTGAAAGCATAATAATATCCGTTTCCACTCATTTACAATACCACAATTGGTGTCTCGACCCGAAAATTCAGGGTGTGCGATTGTTTTCGCAAGTGCAATGCAATCACGTACGAGTAAAATGGTCAACGAACCAAGAATTACGAGAGACACAAGCCAGGAGGTTGTCGCACGCGGAGTCGGACTCGGTGAGACCAAGCATCACCCCGCAGATATGGAGTGGAGCGAGCTATCCACTTCGACGACTTTGATACAGATGACCAAGAAGAAGATGACAACGAAGAAAAAGAGGAGTATGACGACGCAATTTAATATCAAAGATGAAGCGTTATAACATTTTCTGCACATCGGCCAAGCTGGATACCCTCGTGCAACCGAAGAAATCATGACCGGGGCAATTGAGATATAGGGAGGACCACAAAAACTACATACTTAATGAGTTAACTTCCGACGAATGAAGACAGTTGGACCCTCTAAATTTCTGTGACCTCAATTCAAAGGTAAGTCGAAGCTCTTGCACTTTTCCAGGTCACTAAGCGCAGTGTACGCCGGAATCCCACCCGCTCGTCGATCGACGAGGCTTTTTCGCTGGAAGCGAGATTGCCCAACTCCGGGTCGACTTGTCTCGTGGCCAAGTTCGGAGCTCGACGGCAGGCATAGCTATTTGTATCACTAATGACAAACGGGTGTCTACGCCTGCTTGGTCGGCTGACCCCAGCTCGTACGACGGCATTCCGTGTCCCAAATCTTTATCGCAGCCACTTCCACGAAGGCGTTCAGGTTAACAGGATCACGAGGACCGTGGCCCAAAAGCTCTAGAACAAGTCACTGGATTGGGCATGCCATCACATCTGCCGGATTTCTTACGACGCGTCTGGCGCGTGGAATGTTCACCTAGTCTGTACATCGCAATGTCGACCATCTAGCCATCAATGCGACGTTGCCAATTAGTGCACGACAATTTGTCGTCAGCATTCCAATGCGGGAGACCGCGTTGTCTTGCCAGCCACTGTAAAAAGTGTATACAGCTTCAAGATTGCGACTACAACCCACAGAGATGACCGACCGTCCACGGCCATTGGATGCTGCTTAGAATCGGAGGCCAATTAAGAATAATACCGTAAACGTAGAGGCACTTATAGATAACGACGTTTAAGCGTCGAAAGGTGCACGCGATTTCGACCCTCGCCAATTTTGGTTTGATGATGACCTGCACGTAACGTTGGAATTGTTTTTACTGCCATAGAGCTCTGATGGATAACTAATCGACTGGAGTGAGAAAAGTAAGGGCTCTACTGTTAAGACTTTAAACATCTCGGCACGACTGGAGTGGTAAAATAGACCATTCGATGTTCCTATTGCACACGTTCAGGGAGTTATCCATACGTCATCATCACCAATGGTATATTGTATAAGGATCGGGACAGGAGCAGACTATGTGTAGCGGCATCAGAAGTGTCCAGACCTGAAAACGGGCAAGAACAACTAAGGATCCTTATAACGATTTCGCTGTCTCACTTGGCCTTCGACGACGCAGCAGAAGCGCACTCTTGTCCTACCCCAAGGATGCTGATGCCCAACTTCGCTGAACAGCTTACATTCCATCATCGGGGCTCATTGGGGATCGTATCAGTTCGATTATTGGCGTGCTCAACAATCTCTGCACGCCTCGATCGTTTCGGTCATTGTCTCGTCAATAGTCTTGTGGGGTTTCGTACAGCCATCTGCTGGATGGTCATGGGTTATACATCGTTATAAGCGACATCGTAGTGATGTAGAAGATGAGAAGACCAATGCACATGCACACGTTTTGTGCACCATCATCTTCATCTGTGACGAAGTACAAGATGTCGTGTCCCTGATTCTAAGTGGGACATCGAACAGTTAGTCGTATGATGCTGGGACGCATCGTTACAGTTGACAGTTGAGGTATATCTGTTGGTATACACTGTAGTCGAGTCTAACCGAAGAGGTCGTCACCTAGGAGGTTCTTTCCTCCTCAATCTCACAGTTGCTCAGTGGAAAGCAAGTGTTCCGTGTTATATATTCCCTACAATACAGAGTAGGAACGGCGACACTCACCTGCGCAGTGTGGCAAGTGTGACAGGTTATGAGCCCAAGTCTTTTTGCACTGTCCAAGTAACATATCAGCACAATGTCTGGAGTGAGTAAGAAGTCGTCGAACGATACAGCCACTAGTGATGTATTGACGAGTTTGAGTAATGTTACGACCGCTGTGAGTACTGTGACGTCTGGTATTGCACCTAGTGGATTGAGTGGGGATTTTGCCACCGCAACCATTCAACCAGCTATCCCGTTACCTGGATCAGGATTTTACGGCGGGAAGGCCTATTGCTGGTGGTCCACTACCTGGAGCTGGAGGGATACTTCATCCTATGCGTGAGGTTCATCAAGTATCTGATGGTGGATTTGGGATGAAGCTAGACAATAAATTGCCGATCATGCATGGAACTTTTGATCTGTATGCAGTTGAGCTGGAAACTTTCTTACGACGCATTGATGTGTGGATACTGTTGCTCGTGGTGGTATTCTGCATGGTATTCTAACAGCAGATGCTGAGCTTATCTGTCACGAGACAAGCGCTCACGTGATGTGATCGAGCTTTATCGATAAGCAAACCAAAAGAGAGTACGATAATTACATCTTTGCACGACAACTGCTGTATGCAAACAAGTATACGCATGAATGAATGGCTACGTGAGATGGAACTTCAGCAGCATGAGCTGCAACATACAAATAGTCATCTCTGATCAAGAGTTTGCCGAGGTAATTATGAGCAATGTGTTGCAGACACATCGTGAAGTGGTTATGCAATTCTCTAAGCATTACGACCCCGTGGATCAGCGTTTGACTCCGTCGTCGGCACAAGTGATGAATGCTCTTCGAGCAGAATCGGAGTTGGCGTCACACTTCTCACTCACTCCAGACATTGTGTTGATATGTTATTTGAACAGTGCAAGAAGACTTGGGCTCATAACCTGTCACACTTATCACACTGTGCAGGTGAGTGTCGCCGTTCTGTAGGGTTCACAATACAGAGTAGGGGGTATAACACGGAACACTTGCTTCCCACTGAGCAACTGTGAGATTGAGGAGGAAAGAACCTCCTAGGTGACGACCTCTTCGGTTAGACTCGACTACAGTGTATACCAACAGATATACCTCAACTGTCAACTGTAACGATGCGTCCCAGCATCATACGACTAACTGTTCGATGTCCCACTTAGAATCAGGGACACGACATCTTGTACTTCGTCACACTCCCACTCCGTTGTCTCTGATGTCTTGTGGTGTGGTGTTGCTAGTAGGCACTACGACCATATTCAACATGTGCCGTAACTTCTTAAATTGCGTAGGTCCAAGAGGCTTGGTGAAGATGTCTGCCAGCATGTCTTCTCACGGGCAGTATACCAAAGCAAACTCGTCTTTCTCCACATGATCTCGTATCTTGTGGTACTTGAGATCTACACTCTTCAATTTGTAGTCCCCTGTGTATGCTTCGATCACTTTATAGCCGCTTAAGTATCTTCATATAATGAGTCTTTTTGCGACTCACCCCAAGCTCTTGACACATAGTGTGCGTCCACATTATCATCGTGCTGCATTCAGCCGCAGCCACAAACTCGGAACAGCATGTATCATCAGTAATCAATCATTGTTTGTGGCTTGTATATGCGTAAGTACAGCCCTCCATTTGCAGTCCATATCCGGCCACAGAGCATCGATCATCTCTTTCATTTCTCAAATCAGCATCCACATATGCCACAATCTGCACGTCTTGATGCGTTCACATACACATCCTTCGGCACTATTGTCTTGTCAGACAATGTCCAAAGTAGTCCGTAGGCTGACGATCCTCTCAAATTGGTTGCTGCCACGGGCCTAATATGGACTTCGACCTCGTCGCTTCTCTTTCCAGGGTTGCTAATTGTTACTGTGGAGCTGATTGTTTGGCTCCTTCGCAGTTTGAGCAGCACAGATATTTCATCTGCTGAATGATCCACATTGACCTGCAGCCAAACGTCGACGATACTGACGTGGCGGGTTTTGCAGCCGATTGGCAGATGTCGGGTGCAGCACTTGCCTCGGCTCGGCACGATGGGCGCTATCATTCTGCCCGTGTACGTTTCTGTCTAGGAAGCTGATACTGCACAATGCTTCGGTGTTAACATGGCTGTGAGCAGCGCCTGTGCCAAGAATGGGTTGGACAACATCGAGCATCGAGCTGGCGAACCCAAGATTAGGCAGCATCCAAAGCCCACGTTGTAAAAGGCAGATTGCCCCCAATTGCCTTGCTCACGTCGTGCACGATCTGCACAGCCAGCACGGGAACTGTCTTCAGACGAGGAATTGACTTTTTGATGCTGTCGTAGGTCCGAGGAGTTGTATAACTCGAAGAACATGATGGCGGCGTATTCGTTTAGAATCAGAGGCATGGTTTGGGTCTTGAAAACGCGTCCAGTATACTCTGGCGTGTGCTACATTGTCATTCTGGACCAACGGAGTCCTCTTGCCGGTGTCTCTTTCTAAACACGACCATGACTTCTGCGCCAGTGTGGTTTTTGTTTTCGTAGCCATTCTGTCCCTGGTGCACGCAGCCGCCTTTGCACTCCGTATACCAACTATTTTCCACATATAAGCGACATGGACATCGTGCGTTGGCGACAGATTTGATCTTGTGTCACATCAGCACACGTCTCACGAGTACGAGGCAATTGGTTCATTACGTCGAGTCATTGGAATATCAAACGTTATTCCTTCATCCTCTTTCTGCAAATGTAACCTGTTCGACACACACTGGAAGCATTTCTCGGTGAGACATTGCTTTCAATCTTTGCAACTACTGCAGTCACTGCTGCGACGTGCGCAAGCAGAATGGGGAGCCTTGGTCTTGCTTGCAGCTGCATTTTCAGCAATAGCTGTGCTTGCTAAGTGGTGGTGCTTGTCTGTGAAGGCGACGCAGCTGGTATTGATGCTGACGATGAAGTTGAGGCCACACTTGGTTTCGGTATCGTATTGCCAGCGGTGGTCGCTTTCTGCCGAGCATGCACGCGCAGAATGTCTCGGTTAAACCGTTCAACATCATACGCAGCCAATGTTTGACACTGGCGACGAACTTCGGCAGATGCCTCTCCAAACCGACGTTGAACGTCTGCAGCCGAGAGCGCGAATGTGGTACCAGGCAATTTTTTCGCTTGTTCTTCTCGAAGACGGAGCTCAAAGAAATCGAGCTCGGATCGAGCGCGGGTCACAGCAAGAGGTGGGAACGACGACGGCTTGTATGTGTGCGGAGGTGTCGCCACCACGGGCGTAATACACTTTGGCTTTTTAGCTGCTTCGGTACGGTTTGCCAGCACTGCTTGTTTTCGTTTCAGATCGACCATTTCTGTAGCACTTGGTACTGTCGTGACTGTCGATTGCTCAAATCGCGACTGAGCTGGCGATGGTGTTGGTTTTCGCCGAAGAAACCTCGACGCCACGAAGGTCAGTGGCAATGCGTCTTTCGGACCAAATGGACGATACCAGGCGTCCGGTGCTCCCGTAGGCAGTGAATAGGTCGGATACAATCGGATTCCCGACTCGCTTTTCTCCTCGAGCTCATTGGCCTTGTTCTCTTGTACCTCATCACTCTTTCTTGCAGCTCTTTCTTCTGTAGCAGCATTTTGTTTGTATTGACCTTCATCTGTGATCTCGTCACTTGCAACAATTTGCATCTTCTCTTCTTGCTTCTTTTCTGCATTTTTTACTTGTTCAGCAGCCACTCGAGCATTGATTTCCTTAGGACTTTGATAAAATTCTTCCTCCTCTGAATCTGGTAACAATTCTTCTGTCTCTCCGTCTGGAAGTACATTTTTTTGACCATAAGCCAAAAATTTCCATAATAATTGACATTCTTGAGGTGTCATGGGAATGTTATGGCTCAATTCCATTGTCTTGGCGACTAGTTTCCACTTGATAAATGCTGTAACATTATAAATTCATACAAGAGAATGAGTACACTTTTGTTTCCTATTGTATACCACCAGTGTACCCCTCATACCTGGCGATTTCTTTTCATCCAATACCGTTAATGCCAGTGTCTGTTTTTCTAATTGGCTTAAAATCACTTCACACAATAATTTACACTCCCGACTCGAATACTGACCCAATATTTTATTGTCATCGTGTACCCCCTTGGGGTACGAAATGTGTACCCCACATTGGGATACATTCGTATGGGCCGCTGCTCGAAGTCTTCGACGCTGTCCATTGGGTTCAACAGCAGTCTCAACAGTTACAGAAACGGGACGAGATGACGCAGGTGACGTCACTGTAACCAGCGACGACGTGGACGGAGGGGGTACACGACGTCGTTGAGAACGTCGAGACGTACTACAAGAAGCAGAAGTAATTGAGAAAGAAGCCACGGCTTTGGCCGTTGGCTGGTGTTCGCGCTTGGAACGACGTGGTGTGAGCTCAGACGCGTCCATGGTCAAAGGTTACACAATTATTGAATTGTGAAAATAGTAACAATAATTTATATTGTATTGTATTGAATGGGTATTGGTCAAATTATAGACCCATTTTATACAATTGGGTAGTTTTGTTAAGTGCGACTTTTTTTACGAACCAGTCATTTAAGTCCCAGTAGGAACTTATGGAGCGTGGTGGTCATTTTCGTGGTGGTCGTGGCGGACGTCGTGGAGGAAGAGGACGAGGAGGAAGAGGACGTGGACGTGGTAGTGGACGTGGTAGTGGTGGTAGCAATAACGTTGGTTTGCAACAACAACAACGACGACGTGAAGAACAGGGTTATACAGAGGGGTACGTTCCATTACAAGAGCAACAGTATGGAGAAATGTACCCATTACACCAACAAGGGTACCCTTCTCAATTGGAGTACCCGTCAATGTATCCATTACAGCAGAACGTTCAACAATATCAACTTTCACAGGATCAGTATCAGCAAGTCCATTTCCAGCCACAGGGTTACACTGATGAAAAGAACAGGGGGTACACTACTGGTACTTCATCTCTATATATGAACACCTCCTTTGAGACTCAACCTTTACTACCAATATACCAGCAACAATACCAGCAAATACCTTCAGTACCTCTCTATCAACAGCCAATTCCTCTTCAATATCAAGATGAGAAGTCCAGGTATGCAGGTACTCCATCAATTTCGATGACAATACCACCTTTACAGCCAGTATCAGACCCCTATGCAGAAGCTGGACAAGTGAGACACCATTTTGTAGCATCCATTCCATTAAAAGAAGACATTTCTGGACCAGTACAAGATTCATATCAAGAGTCAAACCAACCTTCACCACCAATGTACCACCAGCACCACCAGCAACAAATTCCATTACCACGAGTACCACAACATGATTGGAATTATTCATCTCAACAGAACCACCAGTGGCAACAAGTACCACCTCAGCACACACAACAGTTTGTTAATGGACCACCAGCTCATGTGCAGCAAGTTTTGCCATTGAGAGATCAGCATCAATACCAGAGAGATCAGAATTCACGATATCAGGATCGTCGACAGGATAAACATGATCGGCAGCAACGCAAACAGCAGGGGGCACCTCCGTTTTCATATGTTTGCCACAATTGCAACCAACCCGGCCACTGGAAGCAGTACTGTCCTCTCTTTGCTGGACAGGAAGATTCGTTACAGAAGAGCTATGGTGCTGGAACGGGACCGGACCAGCAGCGGGCTCTTGACACTGGTGCACAACCGCAAGACCCTAGTAGATATGGTGGATCTCAAAGCGAAGTCACTCCGGCTTTTGTAGCGAAAAATGAGCCTCGTGGACAGCCGCCTTTACCTGATGGTCCGGCACCTCCACTTCCTCCAAATCCGCAACCTTACAGCAACGATGCGTATGCTCAGCCACCGCCACCGCCACCTCAGCCTGACCAACGAACATGGAAATGTGAACCGTGCGTGAAAAGCTTTGTGGCCGCATCACAGTACGATGCGCACATGGCTACTCACGTGACGTGCTCTGACTGTGAGTATTCAGCTAGCAAGCGAGTGGTTGCCGCACATTATGAAACAACGCATGGACAATACTCTGGTCAAGGACTAAAGGAAATTGAAGTGGAGGGTCAGAAATTTATGGTTCTGGTGGGAAATTCAGCCGAGGATATCACGAAATGGCGTGAGGAGCGGCGCAAGAGGTGGTTTGCAATGTCACGTCAGCCTAAATCATCTGTGGCGACTGCAGAAGTGACGGGGAAGCGAAAGCTCTCGATTGCATCTGACGTGGATTTGGAGGAAGGTGAAATTGAGGAGGACGAAGAAGCTAAGGCTCAAAATGTGATTACGAATGCTACAACGAACGTTGCGGTTCCTGACTCTGCAGCATTGCACCATGGTACGTCTGGCGTGCAGGAGCCACCAGTTAAGAAGCAACGCAAGTCAATGTTGTGCAAGTGGTTTTCACGTGGCCGGTGTCGGTTCAGTGATGCCGTTTGCAAGTACAGTCATGATCGCTCGATGTTTGGATGTCGTACCATGATGCACAAGAGCTCGTGCGCCAAGGGTATGCATTGCCCGTTCTCTCATGATACAGCGTTGTTGTCGCAGCAACGTGACCGTTCGAAGAAGGCGTTAAAGGAGCGTGCTACGGAGCAGCAGTGGCGTGGTGAGCAAAAGTCCCTTCTGCGCAAGTTGCTGGCAAAGGACGTGCATGTTGAGCAGCAGAAAATGCTGCAAGTTGTGCATTATTTGGTCAAGAATGATTTTCTGCGTTTACCAAGAGATGACGAGGCATCTGTAAGTACCAAGATGCCAGCCGTGAAGATTGAAGTGCTTCAAAGTGATGACATGAGCTTCGATGTGCATACTGAAGCCAGTGAGGCCATGACATTGACGTCAAAGGACGTTGTAATGGAGGAGGCTTTAAATGATGTCAAAGATGAGCAAGTGAGCATGGAAGAGCATAATAATGCTGCATCTTGTCAAGGTGAGGAGCTTTCAAAAGTTGTGACGGATGATGATGGTTGCTTGCCAATTGTAGAAGATTCAAATGCGTGTGAAGAGGAAGTACGAGTTTCTGAGATGCAGGATGAGAGTTTGTTTTCTCAAGATGATGGCAATATGACAGCCATGAACTCTGAAGATGTCATTATAGCTGGGCCTAGAAAGGATAGAGTGTTGACGGAAGTAGCATTGGATAATGTTGACTCGACGTCTTCATTTGGAATTTAGTATGTAGCTCTCATTCTTGCGTCCAGTATCAAATAGACGTATGTAGGGATAGTAATATTGGTGTGGTACGTTGTTCAGTTCATGTCAACCACTTCAACTAAACTACTAGTTTGTTCTTCTTTTTGACCAATCCCCATCTGCCACCTCTTTAATATCATTGGAAGCTCATCAGTCGTCAAAATTCAAGTCAAAGCACAAATCAAACATGGTGCGTCCATATCGTTTCTCTTTTCCTTGCTCTATCTGTACTTTCCCCTTTGTTTCATCTCTTGTTATCCCCTACATGTTGTTCCTCTTTTTCTCCTCTATCGAATCATCTAATTTTTATCTCTCTTTTCTTTCTCTTCTTGATGTTATACTCACTTCTTTGTAGCCACTTCGTCTTGATATTAAACGTAAACTTTCATCACGTTCCGAGCGTGTGAAAAGTGTCGATCTTCATCCAATTGAACCATGGGTTCTTTCTGCTCTTTATTCTGGTAGTTTAATGATCTGGAATTATGCTACTCAATCATTAGTCAAGACGTTGGAAGTTTCATCGTTACCTGTTCGAAATGCCAAGTTTATTGCTCGGAAACAATGGCTCGTTGCCAGTTCAGATGATATGCAAGTCCGTATCTTTAATTACAATACCATGGAAAAAGTCACAAGCTTTGAAGCTCATAGTGACTATATTCGACACATTGAGATTCATCCGACATTACCGTGTTTTCTCACCTGTGCTGATGATATGACTATTAAACTATGGGATTGGGACAAGAATTTTACCTGTTCACAAACATTTGAAGGTCATGGACATTATGTGATGATGGTCAAGTTTAATCCAAAGGATGCACACTCGTTCGCGAGTGCGTGTCTAGACAGAAGTGTCCGTGTGTGGGGTCTTGGCTCGAGTCATGCTCATTTTTCCCTTGATGGACATGAACGTGGCGTCAATTGTGTGGCTTATTATCCAGGTGGTGATAAACCTTATCTCCTATCGGGCAGTGATGACCGTACGGTCAAAGTATGGGACTACCAGACGAAAGCTATTGTCCATACGTTGGATGGACATGGTAATAACTTGACAGCTGTCATGTACCATCCGAGACTGCCATTGATCATTTCAGCCTGTGAAGATGGTGCAGTGAGGATGTGGCACTCGACTACGTACCGTGCAGAGACGACGTTGAATTACGGCATGGAGCGTAGTTGGTCGCTTGCGGCGCTACCGTCAGCCAACACACTGGCGATTGGCTATGATGAGGGTACTATTGTGTTGAGACTAGGACACGACACCCCTGTCGTAAGTATGGACGCTGGTGGCAGCGGGAAACTTATCTGGACGACCAACAATGAAGTCCAGACGGCCAGTGTCAAGGGAGTGGTGGCGGAGATAGGTCTCCAGGACGGCGAAAAGCTGCCGCTCGTGTCAAGAGATCTAGGAAGCTGCGAAGTTTACCCTCAGAAAGTCCAGCACAATAGCAATGGCCGCTACGTCGTGATCTGCGGTGACGGCGAGTACATCATTTATACAGCACAGCAGTTGCGTAACAAGGCCTTCGGTGCTGCACTGGACTTTAGCTGGTCACCGACTGGCACAGGCGACTACGTCGTGCGTGAGAGCATTTCAAAGCTTACGCTGTTTCGCAATTTTAAGGAGTTGAAGAGCGAGAAGCCTCGCGTGTTGTCTGCCGAAGGTTTGTTCGGAGGTACTGGTGCCATAGGTGTTAAGGGCAATGACGCGATTGCTATGTATGACTGGGAGGAGCTGCGATTGATTCGTAAGATTGACGTAGTGGTCAAAAACGTGTTTTGGTCGGAAAATGGTAGCCTCGTCGTACTTGCTTGCGAGTCGAGTTTTTTTGTGCTGCGGTATAACAAGGAGGTCGTGGCACAGTCTTTTGCTGCCGGCACGAACTCACCCGATGAAGGCGTAGACGGCGCCTTCGACCTGCTCCATGAAATCTCTGAGAAGGTGGGCACGGGCACCTGGGTCGGAGATTGCTTCTTGTACACTAACGCTGGCGGGAGACTTAATTACTACGTTGGCGGTGAGGTCATGACGCTTGCCCACCTAGAACAGAAGATGTATCTGCTCGGATACCTTCCTCGTGAAAACCTGGTGTTCCTGATGGACAAAATGAAAAATGTGGTAAGCTACACCGTTTCGCTTGTTATGCTTGAGTACCAGACTGCTGTGGTGCGTCGTGACTTTGAGAGTGCAAACGCCATCTTGCCCAAGATCCCGGCAGATCAAATGGACACTGTGGCTCGATTTTTGGAGTCACAGGGCTTCAAAGAAGAGGCTTTGGTGCTAAGCACTGACCCAGACCAGAGATTTGACCTCGCTGTGCAGCTTGCCAAACTGGACGTGGCGCGTGAGATTATGCTGCAGGAAATCGACAAGGGTGACAAGGGCAAAGACATGGACATTGAGACTCAGCACAAGTGGAAGCAGTTGGGCGATCTTGCACTCAACGACTGCCAGCTAGCTCTTGCTGAGGATTGTGCACTACGGGCCGACGATTTTAGTCTGCTGTTGATTTTGTACACAAGTCGTGGAGACAAGGAGGGTCTTGTGCGTCTCGCTGCACTTGCTCGCGAAAAGTGCCGTTACAACATTGCATTTATATGCTGGCTGTTGCTGGGCAAAACCACTGATTGTGTCGAGGTACTGAAGGAAACCAAGCGTTTCCCGGAAGCCGCATTCTTTGCACGCAGCTATTGTCCGTCTAAGATTCAGCTGGTCATGGACAAGTGGCGTGACGATTTGGCTACAGTTAGCTCCCGTGCTGCCAAAGCACTGGCCGACCCCACGCGCAACGCCGACTTGTTTGAGAACCTGGAGCTCTCGATGCAGGCGGAGGCTACGCTTCTTTCGCAGAACGGTGGTGAAGATGCTAACACTCCTGTGTCCTTTTATGCTGCGAAGAAAGAATTGCTGGAGAGCGAGAACCTTCTTGAGTTAATTTTGAGTGGCGGCGCTGTGGCTGCATTTGCAGGTGGCACCAGCGATACTTATCATGACAGTGTGGCTTTCAGTGCAGAAGCTGAAACTCAGGCTTTAGATTTTCTACAAGCTCAAGCTCAAGCTGCAGCGACGGCTGAAGCGGAAGCATATACCCAAGCTCAAGCTCAAGCCTTTGCACAAGCACAGGCAATGGCAGAAGCTGAAGCTGAAGCTGAAGCGCTGGCGAAGGCACAAGCTGCCGCGGCTGCTCAACTGGAGTACGAGCAAGCTGAAGCCCAGGCAGCATTAGAAGCTGCGGCTCGGGCGAAGGAAGAAGCCAGACAACGTGCCGAGGCTGAAGCACGTGCACGGGCTATGGAGGAGGAGAAAGCACTTGCACGAGCTATGGAGGAGGAGAAAGCACTTGCACGAGCTATGGAGGAGGAAAAAGCACTTGCACGAGCTATGGAGGAGGAGAAAGCACGTGTACGTGCTGAACAGGAAGCGGCTTTTGCTACTGCCCAAGCTCAAGCTCAAGCTCGAGCTCGAGCTCAAGCAGAGGCAGAGGCTAAGATGCAACGTCAACAGCAGCAACAGGCTACTGAGATGATGAGCAGCTTTGGTGGAGATGATGACGGCTTTGGTTTTGCCTCATCGTCGGTCTCAGACGAGTTTGGTTTAAGTAGTCTTGATGCGTTCTCGTCCTCCCAACATTCTGGCTTCGGTGCGACAACTACAACGACTACAACAACGACCACAGGCACCACCGCTGATCTATTGGACTTTGAGCTGGACAACGCCGATATCCAATTTGAGGACGACGATGATGCTGATTGGGGCGAGATGTAACTTCGCCAGTAACTGCTAATAATGAGCTTGTATCGGTGACATCACTCATTCTCTCAATAAAATCCAATCGTCTGATCTCCCACTGGCTTTGGTTGTTCTAAATACACTTGAGATTCCATCAAATTGCGAGATAGGTTCCTAACATACTAGCTGAATTGATCTCCTACCGTTCTTCATCAGAATTTACTTCTTCACATCATAGTTCAGCTTTCAATCATATATGCAGCATTAGTCTGGCTAAGTAAATGACCTCATGGTGTAGGACATCTCTCTACCTGCCTTGGTTTGTATGATCTCCTCTGCTCCCAAACATTCCTGTCCTCCCAACCCGCTTGAACACATCAGACAAAAACTCTTGTCGCATATCACTTCCAGGTCAGCTCCATGTTCCAGGTTTTTCATCAACTCAATCTCGCCACTACACAACAACAGACAGACAGAGAGACAGACAGAACGACACCAAACCCACACAACTTCCGACTCAGTTCTCACGTTCTACTTTTCATGTCCCATGCATTTTACTCAATCAACTCACATTGTGTCTCACAAAACTCTTTCAACTGTGGCACAGCACGAGCCGATAGAGTTGGATAGACATACGTAATGAGACAATAGAGCATCCGATGGCCTTGTACGACTTTACACATGGCAATTCCTTCTCCTTCTTCTACCGACGGATCTCCTCGACGGCCATACACAAGTGGTGGATGAAAACTACAACCTTAGTGAGTACAGTGCTTACATCTCACACCCTATTCATCTCTATTTAGAAACACGTACCGATGCACGTCATATTGCTCATTAAGTAGCACGATTCCAGACATTATCGTGTCTTCGCGCTTGTTATAAAGTTTTAGAAAACCCCTACAGAGTAATAAAAAGAGCATAGAATTAGTTTTAAACCTTAGCTAAGTAGGTTTTATAGCCAATTTACAATAATAGACGCACACATAAACTATAATTGCACTCAGTACACATAACGTACGCAACTTCTCCTTCCAGTGGCTTCATGTTACTTAAGAGAATCGTGGCGTCCCCGTCAAAAATGATATACTTGACCCACTCCTTCTGCGCCTTGATGATCTCCTGCAGCTTCGTAAGCGACACAGACGCTTCTCCTGCTGCCTGCCCATTCGTGCCACTAGTTACGTTGTTTTCTATGGACAGACCATTGCTACTGTGCACATTTCGAAGCGGTTGTGAGGTGGACACAGAGGCGCTGATGCCTCCCACCGTTTTTCCCACGACTGCTGCGTCCATCCGGATAATGCAATTTTAGCGGTCTAGTTGACGCAATCACAGTAAAAGGATAAGGTATAGAATACGGTGGGTCGTTACGGTAGGTCGTTAAGGTAGGTCGTTTCTATTTTAGAGGTACTCTTTCTATAATAGGGTAGATATCCGCCTTTTATGCGTTGTAGTAGTCCCGCTTACATATATACAGTCTACTTGTATAAGTATCCTTCTTTAGGTTCCTCCAAAAAAAACCTTTAACAGTCTATTAACCTTGTATTCTCTGTATAGAATATACGCTATCGGAGCGTCTACATCGTCCCTCCTCTTAGTAATATAATATGATACATTAAAACATCGTCGCTTTGTTCTTGTCATTCCTTGTCTCTATTGCACTCCATCAAGCAGCTCCGTCTGTGACGCCATCGCTTTACTTGTCCTTCGTGATCGTGTCATGACCATTGACCACTTTTCTCATATTAATTTCAGCGATCGAAACCTGTTGTTGCATCATTATCGTGTTCATGTCATTCCTTTCTTGAAATACTTGAAGTCCATGTCTTTACCTACACATGCGTCTTTGTTACAAAGCATTCTTACCCGTTAGTTCTCTCTCTCCATGTGTTGAGTAAACTGTGGGTTTCTCACTAGGAGTCCATTGTTCATTTAGTGAGTGTAGTGGTCTATGATACGAGCGAAAAATGAAAACAAACTCGTCGTCACCTTTTGTTCATGTGACGTCGGCGCAAGCACGTTGCTATACGTGCCAAGCGCAGCAACTTTTGAATGAAACACTTTGTGAATATGACAACCATGTCAATTCCTGCACTAGCGGGACGAATCCACTGCATGATAAATGGCAGTGGAAACCTCTTGCTACACACGAAGGTCTTAGTGTTTACAAGGAACGCCAGCCAACGCACGTAGAGCTCAATTTGTTTGCACGTCGTTCGTCAGAAACTCGAAACGGTTCGGTAGCTATGTACTCGACAGCGTGTGTAACAGAGAAACCAATGACGGCTTGGACGATGGCTGCTTACACCCCCGAACTCGTAGACCTGGCACGGTCCACGTCGTCTGCGGCAGTAACTGGGTCGTCTTCTATCGCCTCGGTAGTGGTTGTGGGACATATTGATGGTAATCTGAGCGATGCCATGTATGGACTCGTTGCAACGGATACGGCAGCGTTGCAACGACGGTTGTGTTACATGGTGGACCCGGAGGTGCTGAATACGGCCATGATTAGCTGCATCGAGACACCAAGTGCTGCTGAACCATTCCGTTTCATGGGTGTACAGTGGGTCGTCCGTGGCGAGGCTTCTCGTGTCAACTCAAGCTCTCGACGGCTTCGTGATTTTGTACTATTGGTAGCTTCGGGTGTCGTGCAACACAAGGTTCCTGGACGGCAAGAAGTCCAAGAGATTGGATACTACCTGTGTCAGTCCGTGGAGATACCAGAGTACGAAAACCGCAAACATACTCGCGGATGGCTGTCGACGTGCTCGTTATTTACTCTAGCTAACGAGCATTCCCCACAGATCGATGTGTTTTCTCGAGGATACGCGGACTTTAAGGGAAAGATGCACGACTACCAGGCAGCAACGATGATGAATTCGCTCATGCTAGCTGGAGTCACGGAAGCTGCTTCATGTGGTCAAATCAAGAAGCTAAGCTGGCTACTGAGTGTCAAGGGTGCTGCAGCAGAGTTTCGAAAGCTGCAGCCAGAGACAAAGTCCGCGTCAAAGTGTTGTGGCATTTGCGAGCGCAAGTTTGGCGTCCTGCACAGTGTAGCGTTGTGCACCCTTTGTCACCTTAAAGTTTGCTCGCGTTGTCGCGTAAGCCGAGACCTCAGCTTTGTAAAGCGGCAAGACGTCGTTTTGAGTACCATTCAACGCAGGAGTTGGGATGATGGCCACCAAGCGAGTCGACAGGTGCAACGTCTGACTGCTGTGTTCTGTAAAAACTGCAAGCTGAAAGCCTGTCACATGGACGCTAGTGTGATGGCTCGTTGGGAGGTTAAAGCTAGCGACGGTGTTAATGGGACGAAGTGCGCTTCCATAGAAAACGATGCCGAAAATTCCAGCAGAACTTCTCCTTTGTACTCCCCGTCCGACTGTAACTCCGAAGAAGAAACTCGTGTCTGGACTCGAGGCACCAATACTGCCACCCTACGAGGGTGTGTAAGTAAAGCAACACTGCATGAACCTCACAATGACATCATGGACGTTGTAAAGACGAAAGGGATACTGGATAGATTGGATAGTAGCGAGACGAGTTGTTCGAGCTCTACAGTCAAATTGGATTGTTCATTGACGTCAACGTCGTCATCTCCGCGAGACCAAGACAGCAGCCAAGAGGAGTCTAGCACTGAACGGACTCGATACATGTACGACTCTCGACAGCAGCATCAGGCCACTCGATACCCTGTCGAATGTCCTGAGAGGACAACTTGCACGTACTCAAATGAAGTGAGTGTAAATGCAGGACAGTATCAGGCCGATCTCATGCGGAAGATGCAGGAACTGCAAAAAAGTGCAGAGTCTGTGTACCAGTTTACGAGCAAAATGAGCGCTCACACGAGCTATCGACACGAACAGTTCGTGTCTTTAAACTCGCAAACGTCCATATCGGAGTTAGACTAACGAAGTCGAAGCTGATGGTGCGTCTTGGAAACCGCGAGGAGAAAGTAGAGTGAACGTGTTTGTGTCGGTGTTGAAAAGGTAGACCATCGTGAGGTAGCGTAAAGCTTGGAATGAAATACTGTAGAAGGAAGCCATAGTACCAAACCACTTTGGAGTTATTCGCCATGCTATCAGCAATAACACGAACGCTAGCAATGAAATGAGTCTGAAGATAGAGTACTGCTTCTTACGGGCCTTATGACAATCGCAGTAGGTTGAGATGATTTCGTGATAGTGTACAACTACTCAAACCGTTACTAGTCAAACACTTGACTTCAACTTGATTAACCACGTCTCACTCGCAAATAATTAGGGAATGTGTCTAAGAAGAGCATGGGACTAGCTAGGACTTGATACTCAACACAGACACGAGTTAAGAGCCACGGTGGCTGGTAGAGGAGCTCTTGCGGCTGCGAAGTTCCAATTTCGTAGACTCTTTGCATGCCGCACCGCTTGACGACGTGTAAGAGCTATCATTATGGGCAGAAAAGTTCTTCACAAGCTGTGCCACCTTGCTGCTGGATACGCCTGGTGTGGAAAAGCTCGACGTGCGAGATGAGCTCGCGGCCACTGCATTCGCATAGCAGTCGGTGATCTTACCGGTCTGTCTCGGACTTTGAGACGGTACACGGCGTGGCATCAACTTCTCCTCCATCTCATTGCCCTCAGGAGTCGACTGGCTGCGATCGTTACGAGCTCCAGCAGAAAAATTCACATCATTGTCAAGAAGAGCCATCTCCGTCACCATTTGCTGGACAATCACCTCAAGCTCGTCGCGCTCGTGAACGGCGACTGTCACGCGAGTCGCGAGCTTCTCCAGTCGCCTGGCTTGCTCGTCATTGCGCTGACACAGACACGCAATCTCACTCTCAAAGCGCTTTACCTTGTCCACTATGTCCTCAATGTTGCCAAAAGATGTGGTAATCTGACCGCCCTTTTCACTGCACTGCGAGCGCAGGTGGTCAACTTCACGCTCAGCAATCATCAGTTGCGCAGACTTGTGGTCCAGATCGCGCTGCATCTCTGTCAGCATCGCAGAGTTTTTGGCGTCCAGCGAGAGGCTGTTGTTGTCAGTGTTGATAGACCGATTTCGCTGTTCAAAAAGATGACCCTCGAGCGTAGTCAACTTCACTTCTAGTGTGCGCTTCTCCTTGAGAGCTTCTTCCAAACGCTCATTAACACTCTCAAGCTGATTACTGCGGAAGCGAAGCTGCATTACTTCCTGCTTCGAAAGCTTCAGCTGCTTCTGCACGTCCGCCAACTCATCATGGCCCGTACCATCACTTGCGGCCGAGTAGTGAGTTCCGAACAATGTCGACGTTGTGTTTACAGGAGCAGTGCTGGAAGAGACCGCGGCCAACTGTTTTTCAAGCTGCATAGTAGCATCTTGTGCCATCTTCAGAGAAAGATGAACATCGGCGAGTTCACGCTCTAGCTCTGACTTTGCACTATCACCCGCACGAGCACGATCCGCAGTGTCTTGAAGCTGTCTCTTCGTCTGTGCGAGTTCTGCCTCGTTCATCTTCAGATTCTTCTCCCGCAGCTCCAATAGTCTTTCGAGCTCAGTAATGCGTGCATCAGACTTGGCCATTGTCACTTCGTTCTGGCTGTCACTCTTCTGCTCCTGTAGCTCCTCGATCTCGTTGCGGAGACGACCATTTTCCTCGGTGGCACTAGCCAGCTTCTCATCGAGTTGTTTCACACGATCCTCGAGCATCAATTTCGCCTTGCCGACATCAGCGTACATCTTATCCAAAAAGCCAGGCGCGTGAATTGGCTGTTCCTGGTCTATCTTAAGTATGCTCTTGTTCTGGGCGATTTCAAGTTGATCCTTCAGCTTTTTAATGTCATCTTTTGCCTTGTTCAGTTCCAACTCAAGTGCAGCGGAGCGTCCAGCTTCGAACTCGTGCTGCTCTCGGATTTGGTCAAGTAACGCCGCGCTTTCATTCTCCGGCTCCTCAATGTCTTCCCGACTAGAGGAGCTCGTAGTCTCCGAGATCTCCGCAGTTAGTGACATACCCTTTGCCAGGCGCGAGGGAAATCCGCCAGAATGCTTCTTCAGAGCACTAGCAGCATTAGCCAGTGCGCCTTCAAGTTCAGCCCGCAACTTGAAGTTCTCGCGTTCGAGGTTGTTGAGCTGCTGTGTCATCGTAAGAGCAACAGGTCGCTCTCCACAATTTATCGTGACGCTGCCGCTGCGAACCGATGAGATAGTGGTGCCTGAGGCGTCCGTGGCTGCACGATGTGTCCGAGTACTGCCCTCGACTGCGTCACTGTCGTAATCCATTGAGCGGCTTAAGAACTCCAATTGTTCCTGCAGTCGCTGGTTGCGTTGCAACGCCGCCTCGGTCTCAGCTCGAAAGTCGAAGGTGGCCTGCGATCCGTGAGGTGTCTGTGATGAGTGCGAGCTATCCAAGTGACGATGTAGTAAGTCAACCTCCTCGTGGAACTTCTTGGCTCGCTCAATGAGCTCCAACTGCGGCAGCATTGTTGTGTCATGTACCTCCGACATCTGGCTGTTGCAAAATTGCACAGCGGTCTCCAATTCCTGTAACAGACATAGACTCAGTGCACGCTGTTGTGCAGCATTACGCGTCTCAGCCTTCTCTCGAATTACCAACTCCTCGTTCTCGGTGGACAACGCATCAATGCGCTTCTGAGACTCTTTCAAGAACGACTCGAGCTGCAACACTTGCACCTCTTTGCGGTCGAGTCTGCGCTTGGCAGATCGACAGTCACTGCAGTTGGAAGTGGAAAGCTCTTCCAGCAAGTCACGCTCGCTGCCAGCCGAGCTGAGACTGGTAGTCGTTCGTCGTGTTGACATTGATGCTGCGTCATATGCGCTGCGTCGTGACTTGTTTGTCTCTCGAGAACGCGGTGTATGGACCTTGGGCGTCGACGTCTTCGAAGTGTGCAAGTGTTTGTTCACCGATGGCGGCAGTCCAACTATCCCAGCGGGTGCTGCATGCAGCATCATGTTAGCTGCAGTATTAACTTGTGAGCTATGAGGCGACTGCACAAGGTCCCACGTGATACCAAACTCGAGGGTGGCCGCCAAGTCTCTACACTTGAGCGGCGAGACACGAAAAGACTTGTGTCGGTCTTGTGGACTGGCGTTGAGCTGGACAAGTGTAGCAAAGTCTACAGAAAACAGTGCGACAGCGGAATGACTAGGCAGCTACATGGCGTACACAGAACAGCAAGACGACAAGTTAGAGCCTGAAAGCAGGTTGGTAGCCACGCTCCATGGTGTTGATCAGAGCCAAAACCGACGCTGCGTGGAAAAAGGAGACGTACCGCCACAAGCACAATCTCGTATTCTTTCTTGAGAAACTGAGGAGCCGTCCCTCCGCCTTGTAATTTCTTGTGTCCAAGAAGCGATGTCTGAATATTCAAATGCTGATTCCATACAGCGCAGTGATCGGCAGTCCATCGTGCAGGTTCAGATGTGACCTCTTTACTATTGCGTCTGAAAAGTACAATCAAGTCTTGATCCTTTGGACTGATGTCACGACCGATATTGGCCTGATGAATGAATACTAAGACAAGAAAAGAGATTAGTTTGACGCATGATCAAAGGAGAGAGTCCCACGTGATGGATGACGGATGACGTACCATCAAGATTGACAAGAATAGTCGTTGAATTCAAACGTGACGTCGTGGCTCCTGTCATCCCTTTGTAGGTCGGTGGAGGGCCCACATTATCATACGGAACTGAACTTCCACGCCGCATGTCCGATAAAATGATGCAAGTATTTTTGAGCTATGATAGAAGGGAAGAAACGTCTGGAAAATAGACGTCCTTCGATGACAAGACCACTTTGAGTCCACGGTCGTAGTTAGTTAGCTCTGAAAATAATTGAGACTGGGGGATAAGAGTCGCACAGAAGAAGGAGAGAGCGAGCGAGCGAGCGAACTAACGTTTCTATAGGCACAAAGACCAGTAACGTGATGACAGAACTCACGACAGATGGTACAAAGGTGTGCTATATTCGCCACCTTGTCGAAAGACACGATAGGAATACTACCCACTTGGCTGATACAGTACCAGTTCATGTCTGACCAGATATAGTTTCATCTAGATGATCGATCGATCGATCGATCGATAGACAAGGGCGGGGGGGGGGGGGGCTAGTTAAAGTCGGATGCAAGTTGGTTCATTTAAAATGCACTTCTTGTGACACCACTATACGATTGTAATGTATTTGTAGTGATTGCAATTGCCGTCCAGAGTCTTGGTCCATTTGTTTCGTGGCACTTGATATACAACAAAGTCGACACCGAGATTCTGATCTTAGGAATGGCATGCCCGTTTACGCAAGTGGAAAAGGCTTCCAAGGCAAATCGTAAGACGATTGTAAATTTTGCAAGAAAAAAGTAGCTAAATGATCGTGTAGGATCATCGATTGCGAATGATCGTGTAGGATCATTCGTCTTTGCATTGATTAATGTCCATCACTTTAGTAGCAAAAGAGGTTGCATGGAACGTTGGGGGGGGGGGGGGGAGGGAGCGATAGAACTATGAGGCTATATTTATCCTTGTGCAGTGATGGAACAAGGTTTGGTATGTTTTCTATCTAGTTCGTATGCGTGTCTCTGTTGCTACGTACGACCTCTTTCTCTAGAGATGTCTCTGCGTGCTGCATGAATTATACTCGAGACGTCTCCCGAGACATGATGGATCCGTTTCACACACAAACATACACGCACTTGGAACGTGCTGACAAAATTGGGCTCTTGATATGAGCGAATAAATACCTCAAAATGACGGGCTTAGCTTGTTGCTCACTATGCTACACGATTGCTCATAGATCAGCTACAGCCATCATAGAACGTGAGCTCGGTAACGAAGACATGTTGGAGGACAGCTCGGAACTTGACAGACTACTGATGGCGCTGGTAGAACTCAGATAGCTAGGTCGTGTCCAGTTGGGCGGCGGCACTTTACCACTAGTAGTCAAGCGGCCTTCTAGCACACGCACTAGCTCCTCTTGCACGTCGATCGCATCGGGACGCTCGGTCGGCACCTCGTGCCAGCACTGGCGAGCCAACTCCTGCAGCTCCAATGGACAGTCTGCTGAGAACTTGAGTAAGTGTGGGTTACCACCGATACCAGTCGTAATCCTTGAGCTCGCCAGGTCTTCCTCCACCACAATCATCGTGTCGAGCTCCCATAGGAACGTGCCGAATGCGTACACGTCGTCACGCTGAGCTGCCACGATGGATGACCCGATGCCGCTGGACTTGACCGAGTTTTCATCAAACTCGTCCGACATTTCGTCGAACGCGGGGTTGTCGCCCATTTGGCTGTTGTTGTCGTCGAGCGTCACGCTGCTCACCCCACTCACATCACTCTCTTCACTGTTGTTCGCATAGCGACTACGGCCAGGATTCTCTGATACCCAACGCTTTGGACCTCTCAACGTGCGTGTTACACCAGTGATCCTCTGCACCGTCCAAAGAGCGCTGTCTCGGAGTGAGCCACGGAAATGGTCCGCCATGCCATGGTTATCATCTTTGCTCTGTGCTACGTCTGACGGCAGCAGCACGTCCATTGCACTAAGCTTGGCCTCGCCCTGCTTGTTCAACAATACTTTTCGTGCGCAAACACGGCCGTGTGCGAGGTTGTTAGCGTGGAGATAGACAAGTCCCATGGCTACATCTAGGGCAATAGACAGCTTGCATCGCCAATCGGCATTCGGGTTGGCATTTACACTCGCGCTTGAGTTTGCAAACACTGGGTACCAGCTGAAGATGTTGTCATTGCCGCTACCAACAAAAGCCGCGGCACTGCTGTTCGGGTAGTACCCCTTGCCTTCTCGACGATACCGCTCGGACTCAAACATGGTAGCGAGAGAACCGTGTTGCATGTACTCAAACTACCACACCTAAATGCCAGGATGGCGCACCCAGGTTCGAGTAGCGGTTTTTCATTGTGCTGCTTGCTGTGCTATCATTCATAATGTTGGTCGGACTGTAGCTAGTATACGGGACCCGGGCCGTCGATCTGATGCTGCCACGTTGGCTCGCCGTCGTACTGCAGCCAGTGGTGACGCCGATAAAATGCACAATGGAGGCATGATCTAGTGATGCTGCAAGACGAATCTGCTCCACAAAGCGCTTCTCAAGATGCTTCTTTGAACGCATAAGCGCTTGAACAACGACCCTGAAGCCCTGGTACTCGGCCAGGAACAGACCGGAATCCACCTTTTTACGAGAATTCCCCACTCCCACACTGCTCAAAGCTAACGCAGCTTTGCTGCTGCTCTTCAATACAGACATGTGCAGCGCACGATGCATTTGGATTTCCTCAGGCGGGATCTCGTACACGAGTAAGTCATCTAAGTCGACCTTGATCTTGAGCTTGCTTCGGGCCTGAAGCGAAATTGTACTAGCACCGAGAAAGCTTTTATCCTTGGGACTTGGCTCGAGCAGAGCCACCGGGTTGTACTTGTCCAAAGGACTTTCATACACGCTCCAGGCTGCTTCACCAGCGGAATTTAAGCCACTGCCGCCGAAAGTACTATTGTTCCCATTCTTGCTGTCCGTGTCACGGTAGTCGTCGTTACCTTTTCCATTAGCACGACTAATGCCTCCACTGCTTGTGAACACCATAATATTACCACCGCTGCTTCCTAATCGACAATCACGGCTCATTTTCAGGACCGCACGTCGAGAAGGCCTGTTGCCATTGTTCCTTCGTTTGCTCCAAATTAGACTAAACACCAAGGCACTCAACAAGATGCCAACGAGGAAAAACGTGCCACCGATGAGACCGATAGCTGTCGTCGAGAAAGTGGACTCGGCGCTGTCGTTAGATGCGTCAATTGAGTTTGCCTTGCCCGAGCTCGAGATATCATTGATGTCTGTCTGGGTTAGACTGCCAGATTCCAAGCAGTCATCGTCTTCAAGCACGCAGAAAGAGACGCCCTGGATTTCCTCGCTGATCGCCTTGGGGTTCGAGCACGCGTTTAACACGGACGAAGGCGCAGTAAATTCACTGAGGCTCTGAAACACGCTCACGTCGGACCGACATATTTCGATGGTGGACAGAGGGTTATTTGCCAAGAATACTTTGTGAAGCGTTGACGCAAAAGACATGCCGCTGATTTTCTTGATACCGTTCGACTCAAGGTTCCTGCATGAGCCCAAAAGCGTACATTTAGGTCTGAGTTTTGGCAACAAGTTTAGTTGATAGAACGTACAGCTCCACGAGCGTTGTGAGAGACGACACGACGGTGGGGAATGCCGTAAGTAGGTTGTTGCTCAGGTCCCTGGAGAAATGAAACGTAAAGCAAAACACACAAGTTAGTACGAGTATCTGTCAGTATAGACGTACGTAATTTGCACGCACAGGTACTGCAAAGCCGTTGGCAGATTTGAAAAGTTGGTCGTAGAACTGGTAAACAAGTTTTTTGTCGCGTTCAGCGTTCGCAGCGAGACTGGCAGCACGAGGTCGTCTAGATTGGAAATGCCCGTGTTCGACAGCGACCTGCACAACCATCACCCCAATATATCAAAAGTGAGTACATCCATTGTATCTGCTTCTCTTTTCCAAAAAGAGTCTTCCATCGACGTACAAAGACTCCAGCGCGACAAGTTTCGTGAATGTATCAGCCCCGACCGAGCTAAGGGGGTTGTTATCCAGTAGGAGCATCAGCAACTCACCTGATTCAGGCCAGGGCGTGGCTGCCGACAGCGTCGTGATGAAGTTCGAGCTCAAGTCCAAGTACTTGAGTCGTTCAGGGAAGTTGATGCCGGTCAAATCCGTTATAAAGTTGCTAGCAAGTTCCCTGCTCACAGAACGCATTCGTCAGTACCAGTTTGTCGATTACTATTGTCTCTGTGTCACGTACAAGTTCACCATATCAGTGTCCGAGTCTATAGGCATGAACGTCTTGAGTCTGTTGTTGTTAAGAAGTCTATACGTATTTCATCACAATAGAATTTGTATCAATAACTCAATCAATCTGCAACTTGCTAGCAGCCTTTTATCTTACAAATGATACACACGTGGATAGCTTCGAACCTCTGCAACATTCAAGTTCGAGAGGTTCAGACTGCGATCAAAACTGAGACTTGCAAGCACTTGAAAGGTCCGTGGATCACACGCATCGTCATAGACAATAGCAGTCGAGTCATCTTGACCTTTTACTAACGTGCTAGCGTTCGTACACGATGCAGCCGTGACTTGTGATGTTGTTACACTAAATAGCAGCAGCAATAGCAGTAGCATCCGGTGCCTCGTCCACTTGTATATTGGTCGCCTTACGGCTGATACATTCATAGCGACGAGGGTGTACAGTTGAGGAATGGATGCGCCTGCAAATGAACCTCTCATACCACAATGACACGAAGAGCTCCTGGGACTGTCCACAAAGCAGGAAGTCGGAACATGAGAGTCGGCACTTTGCTGTGTAGAGACGGGTCGGTGCTATGTAGAGACACGACATGTTTGTGTAAAGACGGTACTGACCGGTGCAGAAACGACACTGTGCTGTGTAGAGACTCGACATGTTTGTGTGGAAACAGGGACTGAAGATATGATGGTGATCATGTGTTTCCAGGGAATTTATTTATACAGAGTCCAGCTATACTAATTCCAAGTGGGAAGGACAATGTAGAGAATTACGTAACACAGGTTTTGCTGTCTTGTCTTTGTTTTTCGAGTCGGAGCAAAAGTATGGAGAGTTTGGGTCGTCTGTTTGAAACCGCAGAGCTGGAAGCACGTAGTTCTGTAGTATATGAAGTTACTGTTGACTTGGCTGGGCTTCATGAACAATGGTATGTACATGTGCATGTTCATCTTCATAGCTGCTTCGTAGTGTGCCATAAATTGTATATTGTGATATATGTATGTCACGTTGGACCGATGCAATAATCTTGCCATTGCAGGAGAAAAGAGATTTCGTGCTTCTTACTATCGTTCTCTCTACAGACATTGTTTGGACAGACAACGAAAGATCACGTCACGAATAGGCCGAACAAGGCGATGTCAAGTGCATGCATATAAGCTTAATGCACTGTAGCTGCATTCTGTTTCAAATATCTTCTATTATTGTAAATCTGTCGGCAATGGACTTGGCTGGTGAACTTACCGATACACTAATTCTGCTTGTGCTCAATCTCGTCACGCATTGAGGACATGACCGCTTATGACGGCGAGATGAAGCGATCATCAGGCAAAAGAGCGCATCTGTACTTCATCTGCTGAGACCCCTTGCTGCTACTGCAAGTACTAGATACTTTAAGGTAGCTACAAACACGTCAACACACATCCGCTGTCTATAATATCGTTAGTGTATAGCCTCTTAATGTCTTGCAACCATGTCCTAGAGTAGTAATGATCATCCTGACTACTTGAAACTTCATGGCCAGCATCTGCGTTTACCATCGGTACTAATCAATGAATGACTGTCGATCAGAATTCCAATCACCGATTTGTACCGACCGTGCATCGTCATTTCTTGTCATCGATAGTCACCCTCTATCACAACCGTTAGATCTCTTTCCTTTGCACGATGTCAACTCCTGCGCCGTCGCCTGACTCACCGTCGCCACCCGAAAAAGCGCGTAAGACCGCTTTCTCCGTTCGCAACAGTTTGTGGCTTGTCGTGGCTTTACTTGCCATTGCAGTGGCCACGTTCGTGCGTAATCCAAAGCTTTTGGTGCGACACCATGTGCTGGAGACCCCCTTGCCTGATGCAGTGAATTGCACGGATGCTCATCAATTCTTGACGGATGTCATGCCGATCAAAGGATTCCACGTACTTTGCATTGAAACGACGACGACCGACACGTACGTCATCTATTAGTCTTGTCGAACCTGATAGAATGCGAATAGAGGCTTTTAACGCAATGGATGTGGTGTCTTTTGCAGGCTGAAGGTAACGAGCTTTAAAGACGGGATGCATGCAAATGAGTCATTAGAGACGACAAAAGACATTGAAACGTTTTCGTACGCAGTAGAAGAAGAACTGCTGCAGATTTCCAAGCCAAGCGATGAGTATGGTCAAAAATACAAGCAACCATCCGCGTATTTCACTCCGGACGGAGTGAGACTGGAAAAGAACGTCACTGCGCTAGAGAATCAAATCGTGTTTCTATTCGAAGGCGGCCAGTTCATTTGGCCAGGTGTACGTATTGGCCACAAAAGTGAGTACATGTCGAGATTGTAGAAAGCAAGCAAAGTCTCTGAACTGCTTTGAATGACGGTGTTCTAGGGATCGTAGAAAACACATATGGACGTGGCGATCTCGTACTCGAGACGATCAGCATGACGCCACTTGTATTCAGCGTCGAGGATTTCCTCCTGGACGACGAGATTGATATCATTCTTGACTTGTCCATGCCGCACTTAGCGCCGTCGGACGTCGCGTTGCAAGATGGCCACGAAAATAGACCGTCTACGGAATGGCGCACGAGCACGACGTACTGGTTAGATTCATCGAGTCATTCAGTGGTGCAAGACATCGACAAACGCACAGCCGACCTTGTTAAAGTGCCTTCAAGCCACCAAGAGACCGTTCAAGTGCTGCGCTATGAGCGCACCCAGCACTACGACCTGCATCTGGACTACTTCTCTCCTAAACACTATCAAAATTCTCCAGACATGCTGATGTCAATCGAGCACGGCTACAAGAACCGCATGATCACGGTGTTCTGGTACATGTCGGACGTGGCCAAAGGCGGACACACCAACTTTGCTCGTTCTGGTGGTCTACCCCATCCTCCGACTATGAAGGGCTGTCCCCAAGGCATGAACGTCGCTCCGAAGAAGCGTAAGGTGATTGTATTCTACAGCATGCTGCCAAATGGTGAAGGCGACCCAATGAGTCTGCATGGAGGCTGTCCTGTCGAAGAGGGTATCAAGCTGTCGGGCAACAAGTGGATCTGGAACAAGCCGTACAGCGATGGCAAGTAGTAGGGCGACGCATCTGTTACTTGCGCAGCTTCAAAGTAGTAGTCTGCAAACTTTATGTTGCCAAACATACAAAGACCTGTTACACAATCGTCTGATGTCCATTACATTTGCAGTTCCTGGCCACGAAACTGCGGCAGGTCACTGGACATTCTTTTTAGCTCGTGCAGTAGCGGCATTTGCTTGTCTGACTTTGCAATGCCCTACACCAATGGAATAGATGAATATTGTTTCTTGACGTTCGTCATGTAGACGACCAACGCTCCTGGAATGATGGCGTAAAACAACCACGGGTTTAAGACGTGCGGATCAAAGACATCAATGACCGGCATGGAGAAAGAAAGCTGCGGTAGACCATAAAGCCTTATTCCATCTGGAAAAATAGTATCGTGGGAAGGATGTCTTCAGAACAAGCAGAGCACCCTATACTAGATGATTCCACAAGAAAAAGCGACCAAAGCATTGCCGTATACTCTACAACAACCGACTGGCTGGCAATTACTCTAGTCAGTGGCTTTCTGTCCGCTTGTGCTTGCAGCTCTTACGTCTTCTAAGAATCAAAGCAATAGGAGAAATTTAGCAGTGTCATCGAGTTTCCCAAAGGACGTAACACCGAGGACGTAACTGTCGATATCTAATGTGGCAGTAACGGTATGACGAACACCATGTGTTCATAGTGGAACTAAGGTGCAGAACCTTTGATCCATTGGAACATGTCCATATTGCTTGAGCCACGTATTGCGTGAAAAGGACGCAAAGCTCAGAAACGTTGTAAACTAGCGCATAGCGAGCAACTTGCAGGCAACTAGACTAGCTGGCCCTAAACTTTAGCTTCATTCTACCTGTGTGATTGATTGAATATCCTCTCTCACTAATTCTAGCACGTACTACAGGAGATGTATATGGTCACTTCTTGCAACTATAGATTCAAAAGTCATGCTCGGTAGCTTTGAGCTGCACTTATCAACCTACGACCAAATGGCCGTGGTTGTCATCTTCAAAGTAGTGGCATTGTTACCTGCTAATCAGCTTCTTGCTGTATTACATGCAAGTAACGTAGTCGTGTCTCTTGACGTTAGTCGTTACGACTGTAAAGGATCGTCAAGACTCTCATCTCAGACTGATCATTTCAACGTACGATATGTTGACATTCAATTATGAATACCAAATTGCTTCATTCTTCTACAGCGTGAACTAGTCACGTACATATGACCCTTATCTGCTATACTAGTAGCCGTGCGCACCAACTTGAGGTTATTTGTCGCGTTGGGTGAGCGTCTGCAGTTCTACTGGTAATCAGCATGACGGCATCACTTGCGATAAATGTAGATGAAAGGTCTTGACTGCCGTTAAAGAGCCGCCACACAAGAGGTGACAACACTGATGTACGAATGCGACAGTGTTGTATCTCCGACTTGTGACCACCGCATAACCTCAGAGGAGCGCGCCATTGCTCCAACAGTCTGCAGTCATGTGTAGCTGATCGATCACCTACACGAGAAGAATCGGCAGTCTACTGGTCTGTGCAAGGCGGTTGCATGCGGTCAAAACCGAATAAACTTGACGCAAGCGCAACACGCTCTTGGTAATGCTCGCCAAGAATAGCTTTGGAGGTTGAAGAGGTACGCTGTAGAGCAGCGTCGACATGACCTTGAAATAGTTGCCCGCATGGCTGCCAACGAGTCACCTCCGAGCGGGCTCGATGCTATGAAAACCGCTTCGGAATTCTTCAATAACGTCTACTTTTCCATTAGAAGCGTTCGGGCCGAACAAAATGAACTCAATGCCGTCTCTGTCTAGTGACATGAAGTAGCCGATGCCCTTCACGTCCTGAGCATCATCCATCGTCTGTGTGGTAGAAACGGAGCTCGAGCTATATGTGGCGCTGTCGTCTCTGCACACTCTTCGTAGATAACGTAGCACAGTCTTATTACCCCCAGGCTGCTGATACAGTCGACTCCACGATATCTGCCTAGGACGACCAGACGGCACGCGAAGTTTTGCTTCCGTGCCTCTCCCTCCCCCTACCCACTTTTGGTCTGTCTACTACGGCTTATGCATCGTGCGTCGAGAATGTGCACGTCGCTGCGTCGTCAGCCAGAAGGTACACCCAGGGCCATGTGCCTAATTCAAGACGTACAGACCATTGTGATTGCAGATGGCAAGAGCACGACAAACGACTGACGCTCGATTTGGCGTGAAAAACAAAGACAAGAATACCACTTCTCCAGCTGTCCACGCCATTCCTGGTTGACAGTCGCGTATTTCACCTGCTGTGACAGCACGCCTATCCTTGCGATAGGCCTTTGCACGTCGTCTTTTACAGAGAGCAAAGTTTACGAGCCCAAGGAAGAGATTGATTACTGGACACGAAAATGCCGATTTTTGTACGAGAGCAACCACGCGATCCATGCGACACGATCTCGATACCTTGCTGCACGTAATACGAGACATTCGCCGTGGTCTTGTCGAGTAATAGATGTAAGGTTTCAAGCTCATACGAACTACCTTACAATCCCGTCTGATCAAGAAAAAACGTACTTGTAGTTTGTATGCACCCGTGATTGAATCAAGTGTCGAAAATGTATAGTGTATATCCTTGCGAAAAGCACAGATGGTGAGACCATCCAGAGGCTTTTTACCATAAGAACAGGCTCGCACGTGCCTTAGCTAAATTATGGTAAAACACTTCTCACTCAGGTGGGTAACAATGGCTACGTCTTAGCAAACTTCCCATATTCTTCGGGTACCGCGCTCGCCACTAACGTATCTGTCAAGAGAAGAGACAACATACATTCTGCATTGCATGTCTCGCCTCTATCGTACCTTTGTTGGTCTTTTTGATGTACCGTATGCATGTGGAAAATGAATCCTGGCCCGTCTGTATCACAAGGAGACGACATCTGTTTGGGATAAACGACTTACGATGCTGCGACGAGCTCGTTTTTACACGTCCTGAAAATTTGTTGTCTTTTGATATCTTCAGTTCACTATGAAAGTCTTATTTTTACTCCGTACATGGAGGTACCACTCTACCCACGACCCCAACCCAATTCATCAATAGGATACGTGAGTGCTTTCCTAAAAGCTCCTGTACACTTGTGCTACACAAAATCTGCACGGCATCGGTCGAGCCCATTTCTCTCATTCCCCAATTTCCTCTCAACAACGAACCAGCTTCGTCTTCTACTAGGAAATTCCCCTCATCAACAGTATCTTCAATCGTCTCCCTGTTACAAAACACCAACAACAACCATGAAAGTGTACACCAGTATCGTTCTCTCGGCCATAGCCATGCAAGTCGTTCTTGCTGGAAACGGTGGCGGTTTTAGTCCTCTTCCGAACGATTACAAGCCTGGCAACCCTGGTGAAACGACCGCGGGCCTTACCCCCGGCACCGAGTCTCCCTCTTCGACGCCCGGCAAGCCCGCTTCGACGCCGGACACGCCCCCTTCGACGCCGGACACGCCCCCTTCACCGCCCGGCCCCGAGTCTCCCTCTTCGCCTTCCAGCCCCGAGTCTCCCTCTTCGCCTTCCAGCCCCGAGTCTCCCTCTTCGCCTTCCAGCCCCGAGTCTCCCTCTTCGCCTTCCAGCCCCGAGCCTCCCTCTTCGCCGCCTGGCAAGCCCGCTTCGACGCCGGACACGCCCGCTTCGACGCCGGACACGCCCGCTTCGACGCCGGACACGCCCCCTTCGACGCCGGACACGCCCCCTTCGACGCCGGACACGCCCCCTTCGACGCCGGACACGCCCCCTTCGACGCCCACTTCTCCCACGAACGTGGGCGGCGACCACTCGGAGATTACTCCTTTGGCACCCATGATGCCCGGAGGTTCTAGCACCCCTTCAACAACGGGGGTAGGCGGCGGTCAACCCACGGCGCCAGTTACTTCCGCTAGCGGAACCCCGTGCCCAGCCCTGCCGTACAATTACTCACCCATGGTGCCCAATACACCAACGAGCGAGAAAGGCGGCTCGGAGTCTACGCCTATGGCGCCATCAACGGTCGAGAATCCTTCAATGACGCCTGGGTCTGCCGGTTCTCCTCCTGCTGCTGGTTCTCCACCAGCTGCCAACCCTCCACTTACTAAGGAGGGTGGTGATTTGGTCAACACTCCCTCGGTCCCGACACCCGGCCCCGAAACGCCCGCGACACCCGGCCCCGAAACGCCCGCGACACCCGGCCCCGAGACGCCTAAGACGCCTGAGACGCCTGAGACGCCCGAGACACCCCCTAAGCAGAGAGATGAATCTCCTACGCCTGCCCCGACGGAGATGAATAAGGATGGTAAAACTCCGATGAGTATTAACTTGACGCCTGTTGAAACGCCCGGGACACATCCCAAGCTGAGTGATGATTCGGGCAAAACTCCTCCGTCGACGACGGCTGGCACTGGAACCTCCGAGACGCCTAAGTCGGCCGATTCGCCCGAGACGCCTAATGGAACGTCTGAGACACCTACTAAGCAGGATGGTTTTTCGGAGAAAGCTCCTCCGTCCCCGACGGCTGGCACTGAAATGCCCGGTACGCCTAAGACGCCCGAAATGCCCGGTACGCCTAAGACGCCCGAAATGCCCGGTACGCCCGGTACGCCCGCGATGCCCGCGATGCCCGAGACGCCTGTTACGTCCCAGACGCCCGGTACGACCGAGACGCCTGTTACGTCCCAGACGCCTGTTACGTCCCAGACGCCCGGTACGACCGAGACGCCTGTTACGTCCCAGACGCCCGGTACGACCGAGACGCCCGGTACGCCTGTTAACGAGGTTGGAAACGTTGCGCCGTGCCCGACTCTACCGTACATTTACTCGCCCATTGCATCAGGCGGCAACCCGTCGCCTTCAGAGACGACGCCCACCGAGAAGGGCGGCAAAGACTCAGCTAATCCATCCCCTGCTGACCCGATGAAGCCAAAAATCGAGACGCCCACTATGACGCCTGACCAAAATCCCACTATGACGCCTGACCAAAAGCCCACCAATGAAAACGTCAAAGACCCGGGAAATCCTCCGGCTGAGCTGCCCGGTAACCCGACGATGCCACCATTTGAGCCATCGAAGCCGTCTGGCGCTCCTATCGCGGAAGGTGAAAAGCCTGACGCTCCTACCGAGGAAGGTAAAACACCGGCTAAAAACATCTACGATCAAAATGGGCGTTCGCGTTTCCGTCGCGCGTAAGCAGCGCCACTTCACGCTGAAGACATTTGACTTCAGTGAAGGGAAAGTTCGTCAAAGTTTTGAGACTGGGAAGAGCTAGTCGCATGTTCGTCAAGAGTAGTGAAATACCCTTACCATTGTGATCTCTTCAATACACTCTGTAAACTTGATTCATGTGACTCTTCTTGTACTTGTCTTCTATTGAATTCGTTGTCCCAAAGGATTATGATTTGAAAACCTCTGATTCATTCGCCATGACCCAAGAAAAAGGTTGAAAAGACCATTCACGGAGCTCTGCAGCCCCCATCGGGCCAAGACACCAATGGGATCACCTTTGGTCAGTGGTTTAGTCCCATAATTCCGGAGGAACCTGAGAGTTTCCTGTCTTCCAACGTTAACGTGGAGGCCTGTTGTCCGTGCTTTCCTGTGGCCCAGATCGAAGTGCGTCTCGGACTCTCGTCCTATTCCTACGCGTTTTGAGCTGGTACGTGGCTTTCTTCGCGCTATTAGCTGGAGCAGTAGTAGTCATGTGGGTCTTCGTAGCTCTGTGGCTCTGCTCCCAAGCCTTCTGTGACAGCTAAAGCGTCATCAGCCGCATTCTATGGATTGTGGGAGCGCTTGTTCTAGCTACGCTGTCATCGCTACTGCTAATGCATCGCATCTCGACGCTACGTGCGATAGTTCGTGAACGGTTTGACATTCCCGGCTCGATCCGCGAAGACCGCACGGCAGCGTGGCAAGAAACGGCTCGAGCCATTCGACAGATGCGACGTCACCTTAAGATTGACAATGCAAAGTGCGGCATCGTCAACGCCCTACCGGCCTACATTGTATAATCTTAACGGAGAAAACTATATCATGTCCTTAGCTAAGTTGTTTGTTGATTCTTACTCGCTTCTAGGCAGGACGTAACAATGCAGCCACGATGTCGAGACAGAGTCCTACCGATGACGCTCCATGGGCTTTAGCAACGATAGAGTGGCTCAGGGAGATTGCACTATTGCTTTGAGGTAAGCCCTGTACCTGTTGCTTTCATACCGCGAGGGTGCATCATTGAGTCGAAGCAAAATCCGAAGCGTAACCTTCGCTGCTGCTTCCCTGTACGGAAGTGGACGTTGTGTCGGCGGTAGAAAGATTTTTCATATGGATTGCTGATGGCGGTGGAGATCTCGGATTCAGTAGGCATGATTGTTGTCGTTTCCAGTCTTGTGTGTGGAAAAAGCTGCTGGAAGAGGCAGCTGAGAGGCGGCAGGATATCAAGCAACCTCGATACTCGAGTCCGCCGTTAGATGACTTATCCACAACTTCCATCTCGTAACGAGAATTTCAGACTTTAAACACCGACCGCGCGTGGCTACAGCAATGAGGCAGCAAATGTGCACGGCCACCGTCATGGGCTCAAGCAGCGCACCCTCTTGTATGCTTACGTTTGACAGCAGCTTGTAGCAAAAGTCCTCGGGCATCATGTAGCACTTGGCCAGTTTGGCCAGTTACCGTCGTACGGCAGCGCGGCAGCAAAAGCCATGCCTGGACACAAATTGTAGGTGCCCTCAAGACAACACACACAGCGACGACATGAAACGCCAAACTCTATGGCCATGGCTTAAGTGACTTGATATTGCGGAACCAGTATGTACTTGCCAATGCTGCTGTTTGTGTAGTAGTGGACGTCACTATCGCAGATGCCCGTGTAGCGGACGTGGACGATAACATCGAGTGAGCTTTTAATCTCCGACACGGGTCGGTCAATGTACTTGACCGCGTGAGCAGAAAACGAGAGATTCTTCGCTTGAGGAATGTTAAAGAATCTCAAACCGACTCATCGCGAATGATCCTCACTGCCTAGACGATCGAATGGATCTATGTGTGATTATCCGACTGCAAGTATCATCCCTCCAAGTATCGGTGCCATCTGAGATAGCGCCGATACTTGTGTCTGCAAACAATCGCCACATCTGTCAAAGCAGAGACCCAATTCTTTCTCGCTCGGCCTAGTGGATTCGGAGGAATTCCAAACATGTCTGGGTTCATTTGACTTCCTTTGTCTTCCGGAATCGGTAGCTGAACGCTATGTGTATCCATTAGAAATGTTCAAATGAGCAAATAGGGAGTCCGAATGCTCATTCAGTCAAGTCTCGAGAAGGTTCTTGAATAAATTTTCAGTTTGATATGATCTCGAACGTTGAACGTCAGGTCTGCGTCGCCAACGTTCAGGTCACATACCTCACCTCTGGTTGAAGCAAGAGCTGCATTACCATCACACCAAGCTGTTACTATCGCTGCTTTACAGCTTCATAAAGTCTATCCTGACAACAGCGTCGTGGTCTTTGGTGTTGGACCTGTTGGGCTCTTGGCCTGTAAAGTGGTGCGTATCAATGAGGTTCGTCTCAAGTTCACCAAGGATAACGGCGCCATCCACGTCTTCCGAAACAAACTAGGATCCACACCCGCAGGAGACCGCCGAGCAGATTATTAACGAGTTGGGACTGGATGGAGGGAGCTTTCCTTATTCGGCGGGTGATTACCAGCACGCGCTGGACATGGTCGCCGATGGCAAGTTAAGCGTGAAGAGTTGATTTCCAAGACGGTGCCGATCGAAGAAGCCAAAGAAGTATTTCGACAATGTCAAGCGTGGCAACGGGACAAAATGGCTTATTGAACGGCCCAAGAACTGAGTCGCGAACCAGGAACATCGTGTTATCGCCATTACTTTAACATGTTGAATGGAGCTCCTGCTCTTGCTGTTCTGGACTATTTCTCTCTTGCGTGTTAGTTCACCTTACTGCGTAGCTGAAACCGGTTGAAGAGCAGTCGTGATCGGCGTCAACGTCGAACGTGCAACGCTTTGGATCATGATCGCCACAGAAACATGGCAGACGTTCGCGCAGAAGCAGAGCCATGCCTGCATGTCCTTAGGAGATGGCTTGGGCGAAACCTCGTGCAAGTAGAGGTGGCGTCGAACGCCGTCTGCGGCGCAATACGACAGTGTAATAGGTGGTTGGTCGCATGTCTTCTTGCAACGCTGCTGCTCCAGCCAACGTCGTACTTGGTGTGCATCCATGCCGAAATACTCACGCATGTAGCGCGAGCGCTTCCCCAAAGCCTCTACCACTCGTCTACGCACCACGGACTCCAGATCACGAAAGCTGCGCAAGCTGAGCAGATCCAACAGCATGAAACCTGGTGAAGCAGCCGTTGTTGTCTTGCGCAGATGAGTGCATCTGGACACTTCCGCATTAGTCTCAAGGGTCTGGACAAAACACTTGATGCTGCGCTTGTCCTGGCTTACCAGCAAACGGCTAACGGCATCTAATCCGGGTCGACGCAAACCGCCGTGGCCTAGCATCACGGTAGGTCTATAGAAAGCTGGACGGAACCTTGTCGCTCGAGCAGCCCAAGGGAATGCATCAACGTCAGCTGGGATCCGTGCTAGCTTTAGCTTCAATTCATCAGCTTCCTCCAAATATCGCAACGCCTCACGCTCTAGCTCTTTCATCACAAGTGGCGGCATTTCCGCCAGCAATTTCTGTTTCCGGGTCAACTCTTTTCGTTTTTGAGAAAATAGCGTACGCGCACTTGATGCCATTGGTGATATGTGCAGAGTGGCGGGAGCCGATGCGCTGCTCAAAGTTGATCCAGGAAAAAACTTGTGGATGGTTTTGGTAGGCGTACATACCGCCGTATTGAAGTGTACTCGCGACTCAGTGCTAAGTTTTTGGCGCTTCGCGCTATCAGTGTCGGCAAATTTGGTGACGTCCGACGTCAGTTGATTCCTATTCGCGTCAGAACCAACAACATCACTGCTAGGGGTATTCATGCACGCTGGGGTACTCGAGATGCTTTGAGACCGAGCGACATCGAAACTTCCTCGTGACCACGACAGGCTATCGTTTTCTGGCTGGGTATCTTGGGTGTCGGTCAACATAGTATTTTCAGTGCTGGCTTGCGACTGTTTTAATCGAGAACAGCAAATCAGACGCGTGTCAACAAGTATCGCCTCAGTCTTCGCAGATTGCTCAATCTCCGCTTCGTGAGGGCTTTTTCCAGCACTTTCCGGTCGTTTCAAATGCGGCGATCCAAAAGTCGAGCCGTGGATGGCAGCTCCACCATTATTCGTGTCAGTATCCGTCATTGACACATCTCCCTCCACGTCTTTGACCGCGTCTGCCACAACATTGGCAGTGTTCGTGCTGCCTGAATTTTGCTGTCCAGGGCGAGATCCACGAGTGTCAATATAAAGGTAAATGGGCGCCGCCTCTCCAAGGCCATCATACTGACGTGGCTCCGCCAAATCGTGAAATTGCCGCCAACGAGCAAGTCCTTCCTCTGCATCACTCATAGCCTGCGCTGCTGTCACTCCCAACTTTTTTAAACGTGCAGTAAAAGCTGTATTACTGACAAGTAAGATACGCTTCGCTTCAGCGTCATCAATTTTCCCTTCCATCTGTCGCAGCTGAAGCTCCACCATTGCGTGACGTTGCACACAGTGACGAATAAGATCCACAGGTCGAGAGAAATCGGATGCTGCAGTGATGCGCATGGCATACTGATTCGGCACAGCAAGTACATTCTCGTCTGCAAACATCCGGACTTTCAATAACTGATTGCCACATTCACGTGGATCCATCTCCTCAACCGACACGACAACACCCCAATGATTTGCAGCATCAGGTGCTGCTGTCTTGACACTTAGTGGCAGGAACGCGTTGTTAAGCTCCAGCACAAGCACCACGTCTCCTATTGCAAATCTGCGTCGAAGCGAATTGTTTGCATCGGAGTTCCACGTCCGAGTTACTGTAGTTTCTTCATCATGTCGAGGACACTGGAAAAAGTTGATTGGTTCTTCCAATCCACTAGAAGTTGTCGGCATTGCAGCCCCACTGCCTCTTGGACAACGAAGATGTGTCATATGTAAACATACAAAACAGCTTTTGCATCGTTTCATGTCGGTTTCTTGAGTATGACACGTTCTACACGTGTGTCTGGCACAAATAAATTCACATTCCTCTTGCTCACTCCTTTCACTTGATTGACAATGTTGATGATAATAATAACCACAATTCAAGACTGCACATTTCTCCATTCCATTGCCTTCCTGTCCTAAGAAACCACACCGTTGACACGCATGAATTCCACGTAAACATTGAGCACATTGCCAGTGGTCCGCAGCTTGTTTCTTTTCCAGAATCGACAGAGGATCTCCTACAACTGCAGCTTGTAATTGACCAATACAATGTTGATGCACTGAACGCGCACATGTACCAGTACAATGTAATAAACCACGACCAGTATTACCACAGAGGAAACAAGTTGATGGGAAAAGGGAAACACGACGATCGGGGGTCGTCCCTACAATGCGGGGATTGTCGTGACGTTGTCGTTTGGTCTTGTGATCAGAGACAGGACAGTTCACGTCGATTTTGTCATTGGTTTCGACGTGAAAGAGAGAATTGACACGTCCGCATTCACGTTCATGGAAAGAAATTTCATGCGGTAAAAGATCAGTCGAATAAACATGATAACAACGTGGACAAGAAGAAGAAGAAGAAGAAGAAGAAGAAGAAGGACGAGGTGAAAGACAAGAACAATCGGAAACGTGGAGAGCAAATAAAGCACCGGCAGAGGAAGAAAAGACTTCGCTACATATGGGGCAAGACAAGGACACGATGGACGAGACGTTTGTCATGAGTGACATGATTCTACGGTGGGAAGTAGATTGGAAAATGTCATGTGACGTACCTATAAAATGTGGTTGACATCATTAATTGAAACCATCATTCTCGTTTGAGAAATTAATTCATTTGCAGAAATTAAATTGTCTTTTTTTTTACACTAATTATTTTTAAAATAAAACTATTTTTTGTGGACCAGTGAAATTGTAGCAGCCATTCAAAAATGACGTTATCTCGTTGTATGTTGTCGTGTTCATGGCATGTACAAGAGGCATTGCGTCGGTCTCTTTTACTCTCATTGCCATCAGTAGACGTTTCTTCTCTTTCCTCCTTAGGTATTCGTCGTTCAACACTGAAAAATACCGACTATCAGACGAGTCTCGCGTTACAATTAGGGACTTGTGTCTCGAAAACGAAAAAAGTTCTACAACCGCATGCTGTTTTACCCGAAACGCTCGCTAAGTCCATTGTACACCATCTTCTTACACTTGAAGAGCAAAAGTGTAGGTTATTAAAGGATGCATTTGTATCCAATGGTGGGTTTATAAATCTGATTCTACATAATGAATGGATAGCACGTCATACGTTGCGTATAGCCACAAGAGGTATTCACCCTTTACATTTACCTTTTTCTCAACAAAAAGATATTCTCGTGGACTTTGCTGCTCCTAATATGGGGAAGAAATTACATGTCGGTCACTTACGTTCGTCGGTATTGGGCGATACCCTTTGTAACCTCTTTGAGTTTCGTGGTCATCGTGTAACTCGAGTGAGTCATACGGGAGATGTTGGATCAGCTTTAGCAACACTTATTGTCGAGCTTCTGGAACAAAAAGAGGTATCTCTAGAGACATTGACCGATGCTCAATTGGGAAAATACTATGAAGCAGGTAAAGCCAAAGTGACAAGAGGAGACAAGACATTCAAGCTCAAAGTGGATGAGGTTGTCCTGCAACTGCAACGAATTGGAGTTGACGAGACGAGAGTGGACCCCAAAGTCCGTGAGACATGGAAACGTGCATGTCAAGTAAGTCGAGAAGCTTATCAACGAATTTTTGATCGACTTGGAGTCAACGTCAAGGAGCGTGGAGAGTCCACGTACATGCCATTAATCCCGGAACTTGTGTCGAAGATGGAGGAAAGCGGCTTGGCTGTGTTGTCACAAGGTGCACTGGGCATTTTTCTAGACGGTCCGGACAAGTCTCCCATGTTGATTCGCAAGAGTGACGGCGGATTCTTGTATGCTACGGTAGATCTGGCCTGCCTGCACTCGCGCATTCATGGGTTTCCCGGTGTAGACTCGACTCAGTACGATGAGATCGTATACGTTACTGACCAGAGCCAACAACTTCACTTCCAGCATTTATTTGCAGCGGCTCGAAAAGCAGGCTGGACAAGTCGAGAGGACAAAGATGACGTGAAATTGACCCATGCACCCTTTGGTCTGGTGCTCGGTCACGACGGTACCAAGCTGAGCTCGCGTAACGGAGCTTTCGATTACTTAGAGGACCTGCTGGACGGCGCTGCTGCCGAGTGTTCTCGTCAAGCATTGGCTTCTGCTACAACAGGCGTTGTCGCTAGTGAGCTCAACTTGACGCAAGAGCAGATTGACGCGCAAAATCGTGTAGTAGGAGACGCTGCTGTTCGTTACTTTGAGCTGGCTCAGCAGCGCGAGCGCAACTACAAGTTCATCATGAGTAATGTGCTTAATCTGAAGGGTAATACGGGCGTGTACCTCATGTATGCGTCTGCTAGACTACAAGGTATTCTTCGCAAGGCCGGCGGTCTAGCTAACGACCAGGCATCATATGACTCTTTTCTTGGGCTTTCGAGGGACAGCCTAGCAGCTGAAGATGTACTGGCACATGCCTCGATCGACTGGCATCCATCTGAGCGTGCGTTGGCGTTGCTGCTCTGTCAGTTTGACGACGAAGTGGCTGCAACATTGGCCCATCTGTACCCTCATTACTTGTGCGACTATCTCTTTCGTGTGGCTAGTCATTTCCATGGTTTTTACGAAAACTGTCGCGTGCTTCAAGACCCTCGTCAGGAGAGTCGATTGTTACTGTGCGCTGCAACCGACGCCGTATTACGGCGTGGTTTGCAGCTTGTCGGAGTCGAAGCTGTAGACCGTATGTGAGGTAAGTCAAATACAAACGTTGATTTTACAAGTACTGGAAGAATGTGGCAGCTGCAAGCGTTTCTTCTTGAAACACCATTTGGATCTCGGCAGTGGTCAAGTTCGACGTAAGCAATCCAAGACGATCGATTATCGCCGAAGTGACTGTAAACGGGACGTATTTGTACGTCTCTAGGGCCGTTGCTCAGTAAATGTAGCTGATGTTAACGACCATGTAAGCGCCGCGGCAACAAAGATACCAATAGAGACGACAGACTCTCGAGCGTAACCTGGGACCGCGGTGGCGACGATCACGAACACGATGGAGTCAAGGCAAATGGCGAATTTGAAACGAAAGCGGCAGCAAGCGCGACTGTCGCTTGGGGACGTCATGCGCAGGTGACACAATACAGCAAGGCGTATCTACTCTTGAGCAAACATCTGTGAAGCTGCTTTACTTCAGCTCATACTAAATGAGCTGAGTAAAGATGAAGTGGAAGAAGATGTACATGTAGAGCCGTCGCAACTTACATGAAACATTGTTTTCTTCACTCTGTGGCATTCAAGGGGACGAGATTATCGGGTGAAAAATGGAGTTTCGAAGAGCTGTAACTTTGGTCAGTGATCGCAGCGGTCTCCTTCCACTTACTGACGGAATAGTCACTAGTGTTTCTGGGGCTGCTGTTTGCTGGTTGACAAGCACTGCTACAGTTGAACGAACAGCTATCGTAACGGTCTTCTCTACCTGCAAGCAAACTACAGAAAACAACAGGCGATGCTACAAAAAAAAGAAGCTTCATTGATGTAGTATTGCAGTAGCAGCACTGTTGACCGAGAACTTCCGTTCATGTGTCTTATGACCGAAAACCGTCCAGCGAAAGGTTTATAGCTGAAGCGAAAGCTTATAAGCTTCACGAGCACCTTAAAGTGCACTTCAGCTGCCAAGGACTACGCTTCCATCGTGCTGTTTCCAGTGGCAATAGTACTTGCTTGTGTGGTAGTCTCATCAGCTTTGGTATATCACTGTCGTCCTGTCCGACTTTTTGCGCTTCAGGCAGACCCAATACAAAAGTTAGCCGCCGCTTTCGGATGTCGTTGAATACGCTCCCGCGCTGACAATTTGACCACAGCGGTACCCTTTGCGTCCACGGCGGCGTCGTGAGCTTCAATACGGTTGCTATGTCGGAATCTGATGCAGATCGCCACTTGAACGAAGCTCGACACACGAACAATTGTTGAGAGCACCCAAAGCGAACCGCTTACGAGATTAACACATCACATTGCGGCTTAGCAAGAGAAGATAGACTGGCTAAGAGCACGAGCTCTGTTGTCGAAAGAGAAGCCGCAAAATGAGGTTACATTGGTATTGACAGCGAAATGTCCGACGATCCCCTTCTGGACGTCGGACAAGAGGAAATGACGGTCGTCTTGCAAAGCACCTCGAAAAGGAACTGCAACAGCGCTTGATCAGCTGCTACGGCTTCCATCTGTGTAATGTGGAGAAGTTATGAGTATCTACTTTTTTTGTGAGAAGCGAGCATTTCCAGTATTGCTAGGACGGCGAGAGAAGAAGCTTAAGATATAACAGCCGTGCTCGGTGCAGCTCTCTTGGTGGGCATCTCGTCTCTGTCAGGATTTTGTGAGTTCAGATGACCCACACAACAGGCAAAGGGTCTATCCTGCCGTTTACGCTACTCTTCTGCAACAGCTTTTCTATTGCTTCATTTGATCATCGATGGAGCTCCGTGCCTTGATCCACAAGATCTGCAGCAGTGGGTCCTCACAGGAAGCACTTTCTACCTGACGGAGCAACGTACCAAACTCACGACCAGCGTTCGGCTACATCGCTATGAGCATCAACATCGCGTTGGACGCGTAGCCGCTCGTGGTATGAAGAAGGTGATTCAGACCAGGACGCCATGTCGCGACCTGGAACCAAGCACTCGCACAAATCGGTACTTCACAAAAACTAGGAAGCCTTGACCGGGTGATGATGAAATGAATGGCTCAAACCTTGAAAGAGAGATACTGCCTTACTCTAGCTGTTGATCGCTATTCTATCTCAACTCATTGCAAACGTGTCGTCTTTACTTCACACTTGCAGTGAACAGAGAATCTGTAGTCGTTCACGTTCATTGCAGCTGCAATTTTTCCATTATCGATAAGACGGCCACACAAAAGGTCTTAAAATTGTAGCGAGTTGTGCGTTGCTGTTAATTGACGTTAGTGTTATTGACGTTATTGATGCGTTTGACGCTGGCAATCAACTTCATCCGAGAACCACTTTGCTTGCAATGTACAATACGAATCCGTTATCCGTTTCAAGATACAGCTGGTCGAATATTTACACTCGAATCGATGTTTCAGACTCAGCTGGTCTACTAAAGTTGGTTGTTCAGATCGTCTATTTACATGGTGTTAACTATGTGCAAGATCTCTGGAAAGTCCTGAGCCAGGATGTCAACGCCGGTTGGCCCGACTGTAAATCATGGCTGGTCACCGTTGAAAGCGGTGGCCCTCTAGGTTCGCGCTCGAGCAACTCGATGCATGCATATAGCAAAGCACCCGTTGTGGCGGACGCAACTTTTTGATGCTCTCTCTTCGCGATCGCTCGGAGCTGACAAAGGCACGAAGCCCAAAAACTGGCTATGCTGCTGGGAAGGTGGAGCGGGACTGCCTTGTAGACAGCGGCATTTCTGTCGACCCATAGCCGTGTGTGACATATCGTTGCCAAGACGTGCCAAATTCGCGTCCAGACACGTTCGGCTGCATCCGTGTCATCCTGAAATCGGTCCGCTAGACTTTGCATACGGTGCTCGGGTATGCTGTGAGCCCTTCGGCTTGCACAGGCCACCACAAAGTGTTTGGTCGCTTGGCGAGTAACTTGTTGCCCAGTCCAGTGACCAATAAGTTTGCCCCATAGCGCTGCAGCGCAGGCACAGTCCCAAAACAGATGACCAATGGTCTCCTCACTGCCGCTGCAGGCCGGTGCCTTTCTGCAACTATTATTTTCGTACCTCGTAGCGTGATACAGATTTAATTGTCTGGTCGCCACCCTGTACCCTGTCCAGACTTGATACGGTGTGAGTCCATTACTATGATCCCACACTTGCCTCGGCGTTTGCCGGAGCGCTGCGCATTGCCATTCATCCGTCGTTGCAGATTTGGATAGTCGATCAATGAGAACGGAAAGTTGGCGAGCGAGAACCTTTTTATGGAACCGGAAAGCTTGCTTGCCTAAGGCCTTTGTAACGAAGTGATTAGACGTTGTGGTCGGCACAGACCAAGGAAACCGATGCAGCTGCGGGTGCGCTTCGAATACCAGACCCCAAGTTCTAATCTCACGACAGACCGCCTGGCGTTCCGATGGCGAACCGACAGTGAGCTCCGGCAGGAAGCCGTGACAAAACCAGTGTAACCCATCAGCAGCTTGGTGCAGAGTGACAGGCCGAGTTTGGCCGTGCTTGATATCCGTCGAGTGACCTTCGATAAGGCCTGCTCCGAGAAGCTTCCAGCGAAAACTGCGGAGACATGGTGGTGCCTGTCGTAGGCGTAGTGGCGGTGCCGCGTGCAACTCTGACCCGATAGGTAAGTCCGGGGATGAAAGCAAGATGGCTGTTGCCCACCGACGGAGTTTTGCGTTGGAATGAGGGCCGGGTTGGTCCTGAGGGATTGGTATTCGTAAAACGAATTCCGCTGGCCCCGTACGCCGGATGTGTAGTTGTTCGAGGGTGCAGTCCTCGATCCTGTTATAAGTAGTCCTGGCCAGCATGTTGCCTCCCTGGTCCCGAATCCATGGGTTCGCACTCCAGTTAAAAGTGGCCCAGAATCGCTGAATTTCCTCCGGCATATCATCATACCCCAGCAGCCGTATGGGGAAAGGGTCAATGAACGACAGTACCAATTCGTCCCCCTCCCACCAGCTAATGGCTCGGTCAAGTAAGGCCGAGGAGTGGGCGTGCCTCCACGCGGTCACCTGGTCCTGTTGATCTGTTGTTGGGGAGAGCCGTTCTCCCAGCTCCTGCCTCAGCTCATGGCCTGGCGAACCTGCCCGGTTAAACGATGCCCGTAGTTTAGCCTGAGCCGGAGTCACTATTGTCGCGGCCGGTCCTTGATTGTTCCGGAAAGTCCACATTCGCCATGCAGTATAGTATTTATCGGGCTTCTGAGTAAGCCAAGCAAACGCGTGCTTTGTGCGTTGAGTTTTAACCTCTACCGAAACAGCCGCTAGTCCGATGCCTCCCGCTTGTTTTGGCGTCACAAGTAGTCCAGGATTAACCTTGTGGCGACTGCTTTCTGTCGTCGTCGCGTGCGCCCACAGGAATTGCTTGTATAGATTGTGCAGTTCTTTTTCCGCCCACCGAGGTAATTCAAAAACTATCGCGGTAAATAATAATGAGGGAAGCACGATGGAGTTGAGGATTAACACACGATTCTCCACGCTCGTTGCTACTCGTGTCGCTGTGAGAAGCCTCCTTTGAATTTTCCGGATCCGCTGGGCCCAGTTCTTGTTCACTAACTCCCCCGTTCCAACCTCATAGCCCAAGTATCGAGTTGTTGCGCCCGCGGGGACGACCGTCATTCCCTCGTACCTCTCCAGCATGACAGATCTATTCAGAAATATCAGCTGACTCTTTGCAGGTTGAACCTGTAGGCCAGCAAGAGCGCCAAATGCTCGCACAACATGTAACGCGTGGGGTATTTGCTCCGCTGTCTCGAGAAATAGGGTGGTGTCATCCACAAATGCTGAGTAAAGGTGGGTATGCCCGGGCTGGCCGGGCACTTGTAGCCCTTTAAGGTTGGAGTCTTGCAGAAGTGCTAGGCCGAGAACCTCAACTGCTAGCAAAAATAGAAGAGGTGCTAACGGGCATCCTTGCCGAATCTCTGACCGAACCTGTAGAGGTGTGGAATAACAACCATTTACGACGAAGCTGGCTGTCGTGCCGGTGTGAATACGCGAATGAGGTCGATGAATCGCTCGTCAAAGCTGAACTGACGTAGAGTCGCGTACAGAAAGTCCC